CATCACTCTCTAAATCACTGCAGTACTGATCAAGCGACCTGAGAGAAAATGGAAGAGCCACACTTCTAGAAAATGGTGATACGTATTGATGACACAAAAATCATGTAAATTCTGGTTTGTTCTTATCCTATGTTAAAATTCCTGAAATTTCCAGACCTTACAAAAGAAAATTACAGTTTTGCCTTTGTGTATTATGGGACTGAGTAGAGAAATCATAGAATCATAGCATGGTTTGGGTTGGAAGTGACCTCAAAGATCATCTAGTTCCAAACCCCCTGCCACGGGCAGGGACACCCTCCACTACATCTGGTTGCCCAAAGCCTCATCCAACCTGGCCTTGAACACTTCCAGGGATGGGGCATCTTCAACTTCTCTGGGCAACCTGGAAGGTTGCAATAAGATCACCCCGGAGGTTGGGAGTTGGGGCTGTTCAGCCTGGAGAAGAGGAGGCTGAGGGGAGACCTGATTACAGCCTACAAATACTTGAGAAGGGATGGTGGGGAGGTAGGGGAAGGGCTCTTTACATTAGTGATGGGTGATAGAACAAGAGGAAATGGGTAAAAGCTTAGTCAGGGCAGATTCAGGTTGGATGTTAGGAAGTATTTCTTCTCTGAAAGGGTTGTCAGCCACTGGAATAGGCTGCCCAGGGAGGTGGTTGAGTCCCCATCCCTGGATGTGTTTAAGAAATCTATGAACATTTTGCTCAATTTTATATTAAAAAAAAAAGGATATGCAAATCATATGGGGGGAGGGGGGAGTTCTTCCTCTAGTTTTGTTTTGTTTGTCACTCCTCAAATTATTTTAAATTAATTTTCCCTGATTCAAGTCTGTTTTGCCCTTGACGGCCATTAGTAAATGATCTTCCTGCCTGTATCTCAACCCATGAATCTTCTCATCCTACTTTCTCCCCTCGTCCTGCTGAGGAGTGCCGGGGAGCACACAGCTGAGGCTGGCTGCTGGGGCTTCAGGAGTTCAAGGGAGCAACAGGAACTGGAAGAGGTAGCAGCCAAAAGTCAGGCTGGAGAATACCAGGGAGAGCAATAATTGTGGGAGCTTGGATGCTGGTGTTGGGAACTTGCTGTCGTGAAGTGCTGATGGGTGAAGGAGAGGAGTTTTATTGTGTACATACTGGGTTTTTTTGCTTTTGTGATGATGATACCTTAAAGAACGTGTGACGAATGTGTGTTTTAATGATAATTATCAAGCGTGTGTGTCACAGAGCCAAGGGGCACAACGGTGCGGAAGCAGCTGTGACCGCACAGGGCAGCCCCTGGGCTGTTTTCGCAGCAGCCACCCCTGCAGCCCAGCTACTACCAAAACTTTGGCACGTACACCCAGTACCTTCCACCATTCCTATCAGCCCTTGCTCCAGGAGATGTGAAAAGATCTCTCAAGTATTTTGATTTACCACAATGTAAATGATCCAATGTAATTGTGAAAGTAAAATGAGTGAGGGGCCAAATTAGTCGAAGTGATAACGATCTCCTAAGAATTAGAATACACTCTACCATTCAATTAAAATGAAAATGGTGCTCACAGTTAATCTATATGAAAACAGAAAACACTTATTTGGAGAACTTCACAGATTATTTAATTTTGGTATTTTGAAACCCAAAATTTTGAGGTTTTATTTAGCTGTAATCCTTTTAGATTCAAAGGCATATTTTAATGTAAAGGTGAGTTCTGGTATAATGGAATGACTACCAAATAACTATTGCAGTTGCTCAAGTGTTTTTTGTCCAGGGTTTTTTTAGCCTTTTCTTAAGAGTTCTGACAATTCTGCATTACCTATAAAGCCTCTTTAAGGTGACTAATAGAGATAAAATTCAGCCACTAGACTTACATCATAAAAAAGCTACTTACTGCACAGTCCAATCAGTAAATAGCTACTTAATATCAGTTTAAGTTTTTATCAGTTGCTTCAGTTGTGTTCTTTGCCTGTAAGAGTTAAGTGTGATAATGGAAACACAAATATTAAGTTTCAAGTTTCTGCAGGGGTCTAAAGGGACCTATATACCAAAATGTTTATGAAAAATTAAACAAACTGAATGGAAATTGCCAAACACTGTCCAGGTCTTAAACATTACCGAGTGCTCTCCAGAGAAACTGGATTATTAACGGATAGCGAGACAGATAATGTCACAAAAACACAGGTTCTTTTAGTAATCAAGAAGGATAATTTATGAGGAGATTTGCAAGAAACATGTAAATTTACAACAAAGAGGGAGTGGAAAAGCTCAAAGAGAGGAGAAAACACATCTGTTGGATCAAGAGTTGCTACATGATTTGTTTCTGATGTGCATCGTAGAATCAAAGCTCACTGTGGGAGGGATCTGGCAATGCAGACCATGGTGGGGACAGCTCTTCTATGAAATGTTTAATTCATATGTTGAGTATTGCTGTGAACTTCAAAAACGAAACCTCAGACAAAAGAACCCCACCATTTATTTTAACTGGAGGGATCCTCTTAATGTTTGCATAAAGAGGAGCGTTCCCAGAGCGCTATATAATGTTCCTTTAACTCGATCGCTGCTCATCTGCTCTAGGTTAAAATACACCCATAAGAACATCACACAAATCAACACACTCCATTAAATGCATCGATTTATTTTGCATCCGTGCCTACCAACAAACACAGTGCAAGGCACAGCTGTGCCTAGTACTGCCCAACACATGGAGAAAACAGAGATCTTGCCCTTACGGAGCTTAGAAGACGTAACAGTTGAATGATAAGGAAGTCAGGTCAGAGGAAGACAAGAATTGGAAAAAATACAAATAGAGTGGGTCTGTTTTTATTGCCCCCTGCAGCAGCAGTAAGCCAAGACCCACGTGCCCTGCTAATCTTAGACAGCAGTTGTTCCTATGCATCATGAAACAAGTATTGAAGACGACACGGTAAATCCCGTAGAGATTTTGGGTGGGAGCTGCTCCCTTGCTTGGGCAAGAACAGCACAGAGGCCAGCAGAGCAGGGTTTGGCTGAGAAATGGAAACACACGTGACTGGAGCACAATCAACGTCACAATGCGCAGCGCTGGAAGCTTACCCGCTGGATGAACGGAGCTAAGAGCTGCCGGCGGTTGCTGCTGTGAATGACAGAACTGGAAACCATCAAGGAGTGGTATTTTGTGGAGTTAAGAGCATTTATGTACAGGTAAGAAAGGGAAAGGAAAGCCACTCTAGTAGCAGAGCAACACGCCAGTAACAGCACTGGCAATGTAGACTGAAGGGACCCAGTTTCTGAAACACCACCAGTGCAGAAGTGGCAAGAACTGGACACACTCTGCATATGTGCCTCTAAAGAAAAGGCAGAGGGCAGAGTCAGAGCTATCCATTACCGCAGTAAGACTGAGAGGTGGAGAGAAGTGATGCATCAGGATGTGAAAAAGTTCTAAAAGCTCAACTCTGGCTACTGTAGTTCAGGCTGAAAACCAGCCAATCCACTGGGTATTAACAGGAAAGTTTGGGGAGTGAATAACAAGGATTGTAACAAACCCCAAACTATGATTTTTCCAAAAAGAGGAGGCACAGAAGACAATCGCTCACAGGTACAGACTAGACAAATGAAATGAAAATCTTGGTTTGTGATGCCTGTTTTACTTTTACAACAATAAACCAGCATTAGCACTGACACTAGCTCATCCTTTTGGGGTGGAGTTTCACGCCAGCAGTTCCTCATCACTGAGCTGTGCACTAATCTGGTTTAAGAAGAGTGGAGTTTGTGTCGAGAGGGAAGATTTTCCGTTGCATGGAGATAGGTGTAGTGGAGGGTTACCCTGCCCATGGCAGGGGGCTGGAACTAGATGATCTTTGAGGTCCCTTCCAACCCAAACCATTCTATGATTCTATGACTAACAGAAACTCTAACAAAGCTGCTTGCGTTGGAGCTAAGGGTTAGTCACACACACTAAGGGTGAGAAATAACAAACATGCAAATTTAAGAATAATCTGAACACTTACTAAGCGCTATCAAAACGTCTAACACCCTGCAATCACATTTCTTTGGGTTTTTTGACAATGTAAGGGTACAGGAAGACTTCAGAGCCATGCACAGGCAGGATGCTATACATGGACCCGTGAAAGACCTGAACTACATCAATAACATCATCCCATTTGAACAACTAAAGACCAGGGAAAACCAGTGGCACAGAAAAGCAAAAACATGGCTAAAAAGGGACTCAGCTTTAGACTGGAGAGCTTCTGGGATGGTTGTGTACTTTCTTGTATTATAAATAGGGAGGACGGAAATATTTTATTAATTGTTTCGGATACCAAACAATGTTGGATTAATTTCCAGAAGTAAAGATTAGTACAAGAGGACAGAAATGTCCATTCTTAAGCAGCTTTGCGTGGGTGTTTTCCAATAATTAAAGCTGGCTGAAATCAGAAATTCTAATGAAATTTAATTGAAATTTTCTCTTCAAAGTTAGGTGTACCTGTACCCTGGTCTCACTGTTTCCAGTTTGTGGGTTGCTACAAAAAGCAACTGATCAACACTACAGAATGCGTATCTCTGCTTTAGTCCTACTTTCTGAGAAAAGCTCATGAGACAGACTTCTCTCAAAGTTTCTATTTTTTAAACAGATGTTTTGAGTATCTAGGAGGAAGGCAGAAATTTTAAAAAAACCTTTCACTAATCAGAACCTTATCCAAATGCATTCTAACCAATGCCTCTGAATTTCCACTTGTATATTAGGGAATCACATTTCAAGATAACACGCCCTTGTTAGGAGTGCCTTTGCTCACAATTTATTTACACCTGCTAGTTAAGATTAGAATAGTGTGAAGCAGTGATTACTGAAAACTCATCTAAATTATCAGCCACTAAGTAATTTTTGATGGAGTGACATTTTACTATCAGTGCTTTCTCATCACAAAAGTACTTCATGGTTCTTCTCTGAAAGTCAAAAGCCTCCAAGTGAGGTTTTTGCTGATACCTTGTGTCTTTTATTCAAATGCAAAAGAATGCATCAGTAGATACGAGTATTGCAACTACCAGAACGAAACATCTCCTTACCTTTCTGTGGCCTGATAATAAAGGACTGCGTAGCTCCATTCACCAGTCGGCAATATCCGTCTATCAAGTCAGCCATGTTCTCTGCAATGGTTAAGGATGGTGCTGTCACTGTCAGAGGCTGAAGAAGGAAAAAAACAAGGCACCAACAAAGACGTATTATTGTCATTGCAAACACTGAGTAGAACAGCTGTGTCATTGCATCAGAACTTCACACAAACTTCCAAATAGTAAACAAAAAAATGTGGGTGAGCAAAGAACAATTAGATTCTTCCTTTACCTTTTATGTAGCAAATTTAAAAGACGAGGTTCAGAAAGCACAGCTGAGGAAACCCTCCACCCAAACATAAAAATCTGGGCTTATTAAGTGGCTTGCCAGCTAAACTTTTTGTCAACCACTGTTCATTACAACTGCTATGACTTTTACGGCTATAATTATGGCAATTCTGGGGCAGATGCTTGTTCTTTAAAACTCTTACAGATGTTTGTTAGGTTTGAGTGGCAAGATTTGGTAGTGGGGGGGCTACTGGTGTGGCTTCTGTGAGAAGCTGCTAGAAGCTTCCCCTATGTCTGACAGAGACAGTGCCGGCCCGCTCCAAGATGGACCTGCCACTGGTCGAGGCCAAGCCCATCAGCGATGGTGGTAATGCCTCTGTGATAACATCTTTAAGAAGGGGGGAAAAAAAAATAGGCAAGAAAAACTGCAGCTGGAGAGAGGAGTGAGCATATGTGAGAGAAACAACTCTGTAGACACCAACACCAGTGAAGAAGGAAGGGCAGGAGGTGCTCCAGGTGCCAGAGTAGAGATTCCCCTGTAGGCTGTGGTGAAGACCATGATGAGACAGGCTGTCCCCCTAGAGCCCATGGAGGTCCATGGTGGAGCAGATATCCACCAGCAGCCTGTGGAGGATCCCACACCAGAGCAGGTGTCTCTGCCTGATGAAGGATGTGAGCCCATGGGAAAACTGCACTGGAGCAAGCTCCTGGCAGGACCTGTGGACCCATGGAAAGACAAGCCTATGCTGGAGCAGGTTTGCTGGCAGAATTTGTGACCCTGTGGGGGGACCTGTGCTGGAGCAGTCTGTTCCTGAAGGACTGCACTCCATGGGAGGGACCCACGCTGGAGCATGATGAACTACAGCCTGTGAGATGGGCTCACGTTGGAGAAGTTCGTGGAGAACTGCCTCCTGTGAGAGGGACCCCACGCTGGAGTAGGGGAAGAGTGTGAGGAGTCCTCCCCTGAGGAGGAAGGAGTGGAAGAAACAATGTGTGATGAACTGACTGCAACCCCCATTCCCTGTCTACCTGCGCCGTGGTGGGGAGGAGGTAGAGAAAGTCAGGAGTAAAGGTAAACCCAGGAAGAAGGGAGAGGTAGGAGAAGGTGTTTTAAAGATTTGGCTTTATTGCTCAGCATCATACTCAGATTTGCTTTGTAATAAATTAAACTAATTTGTCCCCAAGTAGAGTCTGTTTTGCCCATGACGGTAACTGGTGAGCGATCTCTCTCTGTCCTTATCTTGACCCACGAGCCTTTCACTTTATTTCCTCCCTCCTGTTCAGTGGGGGGGGTGGTGTGATAAAGCAGCTTTGGTGGGCACCTGGCAACCAGTCAGAGCCAACCCACCACAAGGTGGTATTTTTTTTTCCACTCTTTTGCAGCAATTTATTTTTTGTCCTTAAAAATCAATCTCCCAGTTTCAAAAAACATAAAGGAAAAAAAATAAGACAGATAGTGGAAAAGAAGATGAGAGACATACAGACGAGCTGTTCAATTTTAATACCACCAACATGCATCATCCTCTGCACAGATTTGCTAACTCGCCCTCAATCCTCCTCTACCACAGTGACTGTTTTCCTGTGCACTGGACCAAGGAAAAGATTTGATATCACTTCCAGCTCTGCCTCCATGTAATACAAAGGAACAAGTTTTTCCACTTTCATATTTCCCCTTTTCATAAAAGTGAAATTGTTCAGTTTCCTCTTTAGGATGCAGCATCGTATACATAGAGAGGCTACTACTGAGTTGCTCTTAAGGGCCAGCATTTTTAAATCAAGCTTCTTTTCGAAACATCCAACTATACAAGCACCAGATGCAAAACCTAAAACATGTCATGAGCTCTAAATCTATTTTAAAAAGAAAAACATCTGACTAGTACAACGATGACTGCTCACACTCAACTTCTCTTTGCCCTTAAAGAACAAGAAAAATCAAACAACTGCAGAACAGCCAGAATGCAAAATGTTACAACATAATGCACCGGCCGTAACTACAGGAGGAGCAAAAAAGTTCAACAGTGACCGAGGTCTTTGTAGACACACACAAACAGGCAGTCCCCAGATTAAACATGCACATGCAAAAGTCAAGTACACTTTTAGTACATCGTAACTATGCTGACAGTAGAAAAATCTACAACAAAGTTACAGACCAGAACAAAAGTACAACATACAGAATATCTTCATTAAGAGATAATCACCACTCCTGCCCGGGAAAACCAAAGACAGTAAGTTTATCACAACTGTTAATATCGTACCTCAGGTGCACCTGCTATCTTGAGTTGCAACATCCCTTTTCTGTCCTTGTCTTCGCTGTTTGAATACTGAATCGTTTGCACTTGATTAAAGTCTGCTAGATGAGTTGGCTGCAGAAAGACAACAGAAAGAGTGGAGAAAATTTCAAAATTTCAGCGAAAGACTTTGCCTTTATTCCTAAAGTTGCAAAAGCACATGTAGAATTTGTTCTCCAAATTACACTTGCAGAAGGCTGTTCCTTTGTTTCTTTCTACAGTTTCCTCACACTTTGACCAACATACACAAATACAGTGTTTGCAAAACGAAACCAAGCCCCAAGTTTGCCTAGAGAGGTCACTGTTGAGTAACTCCAGGCACACGCCTAAGTACACAGTGGAAACAACCTCTTGGAGGTCAGGCAGACTCAACGGGTTAACCCCATGGAACATGCACTCACAGCACACTTAACACCCATTAGGCTGCTGTACACGGTATGCTCTTAGAGCTGGCCACTACCTTTGAGTTAATTTCAACAGAAGTTGGACATGGGCTCAACCTCAGTCATGACTGTAAAGGTCTGAAGCATTTTGCTATGAGAATCTGTCTGAACATACTTCGTTGCACCACGGAAATACAGTAACACAGTCAATATCAGGGAATAAAAAAGCTGTTAAGGGGACGAAGTAAAGCAAATAAGCCAGCAATTACTGCACAAATGCTCACCACTAACTGATCAAACAAGCTCTTCATGTACATGTTCTTAAAAAAGAGGAGAATAATTCAGAATAATTTTCATGTTTCACTGTTAAAAAGTCGACACTAATGCTTCGAATTCTGCAAGTGAGCACTTCCCTGGGTACAAAACCCAAAAAATTCAGTGCTAAGGCTGACACTGTCTCTCTGCTTAACCCCACTGCATTGTCTCCGACCCCAAATCATGAGTTAACACGTGAATAACAGCTGTGTATGCTGAATTTACCAGCTCTTGTGTGTTTAACTCAAAGATTAGACTTGTCGTTCCCCTTTGTGTGAAGTTCAGTTCACGACAGGTCATGGTTGTTAAGACAGTAACTGAGAAAAGCAAACAGAAGTAGACTTACATTTGCACCCTTGTCTGTAAGGTAACTGATTCCTTCTTCTGGGCCGATTGCCAGTTCCACTGAAATAATCCAGCTTGACTTCAGAATTGAAGGAGAAAGGGCAAAATTTCAACAGTAAGACAAGACCTTGCTATGCAACACTATACTCCAGCGTTTTAAACACACTTTTTAGCAAATAATCTCCAGAAGCTTTTAAACTCTTCAAGCAATTTAAAAAATAGTGAAATCAAGTAATTCTCTAAGTAGCAAAACTCCTCATGACTGGTTTCCTGGGGATCCGTGCTACTTAAAATATGTTTCCATGTGTTTTATCTTAGGCTTACATGAGAACTACGTATTTCCTATATTTCCTCTTCTCTTCTTGGGGACATTGCTGTTCGTGTTCTAATTTCTACTTTCTATTTCTATTTTCATAAAGCTCGCAGACTTAAGACCCTTTCTCAAAATTTGTTTGAAATTGGTAGATTTTAAAAGGCATTAGAGCAAAATTTACAATCGGAAGAAGCTGAGAAGCCTCATTTCCTCAGGAAACCAGATTAAAAATTGCTTGACTTTCACAACCGAAGCACCAGTAAAATATTTAATAACGTACAATTCTTACCCTACTAACAGTCAACTGAGAACGTTCTAAATAACATCAATAAGTATATTTTGTTGTTAAATGAAATCCAAGATCTCATCTCTACATCAAAACAGGAACTATGCAAGTAATTAGTTGCAGAAAAAAGCAAAATCAATTGGACTCATAACCACAGCATGTATTCCGGTGACTGTCGCGTTCCTCCTCTACTTACACCAAGAGCACACTTGAAGCATTCCTTGTCAAATCTGTACACTGGAGAGAGGATCTCAAAGAATTTCAAAATACTTTCTTCGCTATTGAGGTTGGCAAATTGTCGAAATGTTTGTTGGATTAATTTTCGCAGCGTTTTGGCCTGTGTATTAAAATGTTTAAAAATGGATTATTTTGAATCTAATCAGCGACGGTGCATTTCAAGAGTTTCAGTCACTTAGTATCACTAGAAGTTTCTTTCTCAATGAGATGCAGACAATTCTCAAGGAAAAAAAGAAGCTTCCAAATACAATAATTCTGCCTTCTAACGCCTGCTTGGGAACAAAATTATTTCTGCTATACGTTATAAAGGGACTATATAACTAATAACGTTTTGAATAAGTTATAACAAAAGACACCATGCTAACCTTTGTGGGAACTATTTTTTCTAGATTCTTCATTTCTCCCAACTTCTTAAGCAAACCTACACCTTCATACAAGGTTATAATCTTAAATCACCATTCTTATACCTAGTAGTAACAATCCTGCTGTAGCTGTATCTTAATCTCTGCACACTGTATCTTCGGCTATCTATAATATAGTGGATTCTTGAAGTCTGATAATATGCAAAATAACTTCCATATAAAAAGATAACATTTAAATAGTAAATTAAAATTAATGTCAAAACTAAACCAAACATTTAAATTAAACTATTTAAAATATATTGCATGTCATTTTATTAACTGTTTTCAGGGTCGAAATAACCACTTAGAGCAGCACAAACCATCCTCCCAACATCTGGGACAGTGGGATAGAGCAAGACACCTAATTACACATCCTGAAAAATGAATCATGTAGAGGATACAAGCGGGCTTTCAAACTACTGCATTTAAAAAAAAAAATGTATAAAATAACTAAGACCTATGAAAAGTGAAGTATCTGCCTGTAGATAACATAATCCCTGGGAAGGCTGCCACCCATATCATAATAAAAACGGAATCTGAGAAACAATCTCTTTAACATGCCCCAAAACTGAACAAGCAAATGAGAATCGTGAATAAAAACATGTTTCTAAACTCTAGAATTCACCTAGGCAAAAGTGCAGTATGTTCTCCTCACCTGCCCCGATCGTAAGCGCGCAGGCATGCACTGTGAGCAGTGTGGAGTCAGCGACCCACTGGTTACGTCACATAGTGCCAAAATGTCAAAATCACAGACACATCTATTCTTTTTCCCTTTGCCAAAGCTTGACCAGTGTCTGAAGTGACTGGATGGACTTAAAAAAACCTTAATAATACCCATTTCTAATATATCTTCCAACGAACAACAATGACAGAAGGCAAAACCATGCTTATTTTTGCAATATGTCAAGGTTAAGACAGGAATTACCATTGTTCCTCTCCCAAAACATACCAGAATGTCCTATTGTACCAGCATTAAAACTCTTCATTCTTTGATGCTGCCTGTAACGGCTCCAGGCACTGCACAAATACAAACTTCCTGTCGTTGTGAGCACTTCCAGTCAAATTAGGGAGCAATAAAATTTAAAAACCACTCAGAACTTGAAATAGTCAAGAGCTTTTTTTAAAAGGAGTGTTCAGAAAAGAGTTACTCTGCTAGCAGTGATCCAACGGTGTTATATATTCACACGCAAAACGAGGATCAGTTTTGCAGTGATGGAGTTATGGGTTGAAAAACCCCCTCAGCTCAGAACATGAACTCTATGTCAGGACGTTAACAAAGCCATCTGCCATTCTGGTGTCACTTCAAACCACGGTGTCACTTGAGCAGAACCTTCTACCATCAGGTGGATCATTGCTCTAGCAGGCTGCAGATACTTGGGTAGGATAAAGAAAGCATCTGTCAGTCAGGAAACCTCCCTACTGCACCCAGAGCTGCCTCAGACTTTGATAGGACTCAGACAGACTACATGGGACCCTTCTGTTATCCACCTTTTTACAGAGAAAACCAATGGTAAGGGAACTGAAGGCCTTAGCCTTAACTGAATGCCTGACAAATACCAGAAGCAATGAAAAAAAATCTGGTAGCTCAAGTTGTACCAAGTATTTCAGGCAGTCAGTTGTTGAAAAACACTTTATTCTGCCCACAGTTTGCTCTCCTGGCCTCATTCAGCATCATCTGGACTTCCATGGATAATGGCATGCTATTGGGCTCTTTTAAGTCCACTAAGAAGACCTTGAGATCATTAATAAGGTAGAAACATCGGAAGCCAGTTAGAGAAACACACTTCTTCCGTAACAGAAGAGAGCCATTTATGAGAAATATCTGCAAATGACAACTTCAAGGGAAACACACTGAAAATTTGCTCTTAAAATACTAAAATATTTCCCAAGAACAATCTTTTTTTTTGCTCAAGGCATGCTCTAGAGTGACAGGGAAGATTCCTAATTTGCAAACCAAACACAACCTGGCTTACATCCATTTCCTTGCACCCCTCCATCCCCCAAAGTGTCAGTAGATTTTAATTTTTTTTCCCCTATGGTCTTTCCATACTTGACATACCCACATACAGAGAGCACGAGATAACTTCAATGCAGAGATAACTTCAATGTTTCCTCCTGGAGAAACCTCCCTAGACACCTCCTGGGACAGCCCTTGCTTTCTTTTAAAACGTTATGTCTTACAGACACTGTGATCTGCTAACACAGAGATGTCTTTAAACTCCTGACTTCTTTAGTTAATAAGCTCTCCAAATAAAGTTGCACTTTGTGTTTTTAAACCCCTGTAAATCACCTCATAATTTACACTGTTAAATATTTTAATTTTCATTTTTCCAGCCTTCTAGTCTTCTTATATACAGAGCAATATCCTCTGTAGAGCTGGCATCTCCCAAGTACCTAACATCAACAAATTTGATCACTATTGCACTACACTCTAAGCTTTACTGCACTAATAGAGAGAAATAATTAATTTTATATTTCATGACCATCAGGAGCCCTCCTTTGCTTGCCAGTTCAAAATCACTGGTCTTCAAAAAGTGAGTCATTTAATCATTTGAACCAATCCTAGATTATTTTTAATAGGGATTTCACTTTCATTCAAAAGCAGACCCATTCTTCCTCTTCGTATGTCCAACATTTTTTGTCTTTGCAAGGTTCTACTCAGTGTCACCTTCTGGCAATTCTTGCCGTTTCATGATTTCTAAAGAGCAGTTTTCTTTGTTGGTCAGTTTTCTGGCTCTGTAATATCATTTTTGAGATAGTTATTAATTCTTTGTCGTGTGGAGCCTTTCACCGCAATTTCTCCCTTTAGCAGAGAATACAGTGTCAGATAATTGCTTAAATTAAAATGCAGAGAGATTACTTAAATCCACTTGAGTCCATTAGCTCCTGATTTTCAAAAGTCTTTCGAAACAAAGCTCCTTCATGACAGACCTCTTCTGTTTATCCATTTAAATCACAATGTAGAAGCTTTCTAAATCTGAAGTTGAATTGTATTATTTCTGTAAAAAAGTCACTGCTTACCAAAGCTAGTACTGAAACACCAATTTATAATTTCTACTTTCACATATGAATGGTAAGAGATATTTTACCAAGACATTCATACCAAGACAGCTATAGCTGTAAAAATAGTTGGTGACCATTCTTAATCCCCTTTTCCAAAACATGTCAAGAAAAATTTGCATTTTTTTACTCTGGGAACATACAGACTTCAATGGAAGTGAGATTCAACTAATGTTTATAGTCTTCTAGACTTAACACAAGTGGAAATTACTGGAAATATTCCTTGTATGAGTCGAACAGAGTCTTGAGCAATAAAGGCAGAATATGGTTTATCGAGCCGCCACTGAAAACATGCTCGTTTCTTACAGGTCCCCTTCCTCTTTCTCCAGAAGTCTCATTTCTCTTGGCAGGGGAGTTATTTGATATTAAAGGATCTGAGGACTCGTTTTGAACTTCTGTTCACCAAGTTTGAGAGGCAGAGGTCAAGGCCATGTAAATCACTATTATTTTAGTTCTACCAGCACAACCGCACAGTAATTCCTTTACAACTATATGGTGAAAACAATAATGCAATTTTCAGATTTCTCTCACTTTTTTTTTTTAGTAGTAGTATGTAATTGACTGGAACTAGAATTACCTTCACTGAATCTAGTAAACTCTTCGGAAAAAAACGTCTTAAACCAACATCTTTCCTGAAATAAAAAATACACAAAGCATTAATACAAAAAACATCATCCTATATTATGTTGCTCTTTTTCAGGGTGGTGTTATGGGTTTGGTTTGGTTTTGTTGGGTTTTTTTTGTGTGTGTGTGGGTGTTTTTTGATTTATTTTTTTTTTTTTTTTTTAACTAGCACATGCAATATAGTAAGTGATTTTCATAGTAAGGTGCTTGACAATCTCAGAGGAACAAACACAGTACCATTAATATGCTAACCACAGCTGCTCCACAGCAACCCTGGGATAGCAGTATCTCCTAGTTTAAACAACTCAAAAGGATAGTGCATTTATGGCAGGTACCTGGCATGGAAAGAGTATTATTTGAAATGGTGGCTTGGGCACAGAGAAGTTTAGAGAATAAAAACTGTTCTTTGTACGTGTTTTAATAATTTAAAGAATATTGAAAAAAATATTCTTACAGCATGTAGTCAGGTGAGAAGCAAACAACATGAAAACTGCAATTTCTAACAAACATTTATTAGAATTGAGTAGGAAATACAAGATAAAGAAAAGGATTTCTCATGATATCACCTCAGTAAGCACATTGACTGCCATTCCACTACTGTTTTACCCTTTGCAGCACTATAATTGAAGGGTTTTTTTAATTTCTGCTGTCACTTTTTGCTCATAGTGAGTATCGAATGTTAAAATTCCCAGCTTTTCACTGCAAGTAATCTTACTTTTTGCATCTGTAAATCAGGATCCTAATTCTGTCTGTAAGCTTGGATTTTGCAAACTGAATTTCACCAATTTCACCTTCACACTTGTAAATAGGGCTGCAGCCCTAGTTTGAAACCCAGAGGCATAGGATCATACAATCAGGTATAACAAACATTGCATGACCGTGAACTACTTTTATAGCACTAGCAGAAAATCTGCATAAGAAAAAAGAAAAACGGAAATAAAAATGTGAATAGGAAAAGGACTTATATCCTTGCCTCTCAAAGGTGTTACTAACTTTTGTCCTTTAAATAAGAGGTTATGATCTCTTCTAAACAAACTCTTATCTGCTTCTGAAATGAGTATGAAATCAAACCTTCCATGACTGCTTCCTTTGAACATAAACAGATACACATTTGAAATTCTTACATTTGGCCAAAAAAAAAAAAGAGCCATTAGCGAGCCTGAGATATACAGTCTGTATTTACTGCTAACTAATGGCACAAGAAGAGAGTCAATATTAAAGTCAATACGAAAAGCTGACTCAAAGAATGAAACAGGGTATGTGTAAAGCTCTCTGAAGACAAGTAGTATACTAGAAACATCCTCAACTAAGAGGTGCAGAACGGTCATGTGCAGCAGTGAACACTGGCATCTGTGCAGTGACAGTAAGCTGAAAGATTAGAAAACTTTCCTAAGTGTTAATTCCTTTGATGCATTTCTTCTCAAATGCAAATTATATGCGGTTTATCATCCCACACAGTTAAATAAATCTAACACACTATTACCATCTAAATAACATGCAAAGACATTTTGACAAGGAATATATTAGTTTAGCATTAAGCTTTTGAGAGAGAAATGGTGTTTTCAAAAACGAAGCACCCTACATTACTCCAGTGTTACTCATTTTAACAGCACTGCAGCACATGGCTGCCACAATTTGATTCCATTCATTATAAAAAGGAGTTGCAGCCTTTTGTGCAGATCTGTGTGCAACACATTCAGAAGAAATTCTCAACTCTTAATAAAATTTGTTAATAGAGCATATCCTGTGTTTGACTGAGATGGTAACTTTATTGACTGCAGGAGAATTTAATGTAAGAAGCATACAGATTTAATGCCATGGTCAACAACAAACTCTGGGTACCTATAAATATGAGAACAAAATTCTGAAAAATTTCTGAAAAAAAAAAAATGGGTACCTATAAATATGAGAATAAAATTCTGAAAAATTTCTGAAAAAAAAAAAAAGCACTGAAATTGGAACATACAAACAGTTTTAAACACACAATCCCACAACCTCCTTCCCTCCCCTCCTCAGCTGCACTGCGTGGGGGCACACACCAACTCAGTCCTCCAGATTAAGAACTCAGACATCTGTTTTCTGATTGCCAGTAAGAGACAATTAGTGACAATATATGACAATTAGTAGCGAGGTCCTGGTTCATACAGTTCTATTATGGTTTTGTATTTAACCCCAGCTTCTCTACCCTACTTGTGGGCTTAAATGTAAATGTATCTTTTTAAATGCATAAACTTCAACAGGATTAATAAAATAACAACTACAGATAGATGATACCGCTTGCCATATAACAATAAGCAGCTTTAGGCAACATATATCTTTATTTCTGGTTTTTATCTCAACTGAAGTTACAACAAAAAATAATGTTAGATTAACATAATGGACTTCAACATGCTTTTTACAAAATCGTGGCTGCAGCTGTTCCTTCATATAGCTCCCATTTTTGTACTTGTAATTATCCCTGTTCTGTGCTAACAGGCTTCACATTCATTACCAAAAAATTCTTCTTTCATTACATGAAGGCACAACTATTAAAGGCTACTTAGCAGTTTGATTCTATCTACTATTTCCCATGCAGATTTGGTCTTGTATGAAAATCTGATCAAAGACAAATATATATCAAATAGACATCTGACAAAGACAGGCTAGAAGCAATCACACCAAATGCAAGAAAGTGCCATTTAAAAATTGCACTCAGCTGGTTAAGTGCCTCATAATGCACTAAAACTAGCAAAAAAAAACCCAAATAAACAAAAAAAACTCACTTCAGAAATAAATATTACTTGTGTAGATAAACCTTTATAGGTTATTAAGGTGGCAAGATCAAATTAGTACATTTTGAGGATGGCTGGCACATTTTGCAGACTCTTACTGGCTTATAATTATCTATGACCACTTAAGGTGCTTTAATCCCTCATCTCTTCCAGCCGAATCCCATACAAAACACACTTTGCTTCCTCCGCCCTCAAAAAAATAAAATCTCCAAGTGCACAACTCTACATTTCCGATTTTGCATGGCATTAAGCTGTTAGATTTTGCATATTAGAGTTTTGCTTCACTTTGTCTTTCACAGCAGGAAGTTATTTCCTATCAAAACAGTTACTGCTTGGAAAACACATGCATTGAAAGAAACAAGTCACTGTTAAACTGGAAGCAGCTCCATACTGAGTCCTCCAGGAACTCTCACCTGTTACAATTATTAATTAATATTTTGTGTCATCTGTTACGACCCTTGTTTCCTTTGTCTCATTGTTTCCAAAGTTGATAACCTAATTACTGATGTTTGTAGCCTTGGAGCTGCTAAATAACTGACTTCAAAATACCTTTCTCAAGTTCTTGTGGGAACATGTGTCAACTGCAACCACTGTAACTCACAGGCTCCCTTTTCCCTGAAGAGGATGAAATGGGATCAGAATTTCTCCAGGTCACAGTACTTTCAAATCTTTTCTATAATAACTTTTAGCCTTGTCTCTCTGCCCATCCTGCTAGTCTTTATTAGTCCTTTCTCTGCGGTTCCTCCACCAGGATATTTCTACTACTGGCAAAAAACTAAAGTCCTTCAAAAAACCCCTAATTCAAAAAAACCCAAAGCTTTAAAAATTTGTAACAGGTAGAGAAGCACTATATAAATAGCAGCACTATATAAATAAGAAAGCAATTCATTAAAGTTATCTTTACCTATTCAAATAATATAGTTCCCTCACAAATCCTTGTGAACTTACTCAGTGTTGAAAAAAATCTTATATTCCACCTCCAAATTCTCTAATCTCACCCCTCTAAAAGCACGTTTTATTACAAATAAAAAATAGACTTTACTGCTACACCAACCTTTTATCCCAATTTTATGTTAAACTGTACAGCATCTTTTCACAAAGACACCAGTAGTGAAGAGCAGATTGTTGGTGTGTGTATGTATGAAACGTTGTTCCACTAAATTAATACAAACAGAACCAGTTTGCAACCCCTGAAGCTTCTAAAGGACTTTGGATTGTTTGGAATGAAGCCATCTACTGTACAACATGATTAAGTAACTGAAGTACTTTCAGCGTAGGGGATGCTTCTTAGTCTTCTTAAAATTTGTGTCACACAAACAAATAATAAATTTGCTAACTGCAAGATTCAGGAAATCCACATATTGAGCAACCGGAAGAAAAAACAAAACCGCAAACATTTACAAGTAACTCAAGCTTTACGACAGGTGAGTCACAACTGAACGCCACTATGGGCAGAAAACCATTTAGAAACGAAATCACCTTAGAACTAGACTTGATGACCTCATAAACATTTGCAAAATTCCAAAAAATCATAAGCATCCTCACAGTCAAGTTTAAACAATTCCAATCCTGTTTCCCTGGACCCCAGTTAAAGGTGTTCCTTCTACTTCCATACCTCGATAGGTTTCATCATTCTTTTCTTGTATTAAAGCACTTGAAGATTCCAACAAACCTCGTGGAATAAAAAGTTACAACAGAAATGTTCTGTTACAGAACTGAATTTAATGTTCCTGATTAAGAAACAGTTCAAACCTCAAGCTAGAACACAATACTTACTCTAACACTTCATAGTTGGACTTCTTTTCTAATGCATTGCCTCTCATCTCTCCGTAGGATCTCCTGAAGTCAGGAAAAATATTTGAAAGCAACAATTATTGGATGATCCAGCCTATAACTAACACAACAACGTAGTCAAATCTTTCACAGATTTATCATTAGAAAACACTGGTAGAATGAATTCAAATATAAATATTAGCAAATTTTTCTCCTACCTCCTAGATCAGATTTTTATTTTACAAAATGATTTCAAGTATGGAACATTACACAGGACAACAGCAGAACTGCATTTTAAGAAGCACTTCAAACCAGTTTGGCTACACCACTACCCAAAGAAGCGATCTAACCCCCTCCAGCAGCTCCCTTCTACCTCCAACGGTATCCCACTCGTGCCTGTGCACTTAACAGGGAAAACCAGAGGAAGCACAGAATGACGAAAATGAGTATTTTCAATCCAGACATGTTCACATCAAAATAATAAATAAATAAATCAAGAATGAGTAGCTGTTGTTGGGAGAGGGCTGGACTCATTGTTTTCTCCGAGAAAGTGGACTAGTAACACTTATGGTTACTAGTCCTAGTAGTGACCTACTAGAAACAGCTCATGAAGATGCTCTGAAGAGCCACGCATGAGAACCATGGAAAGCAGGACTTGGCTGACAAAATAATCACGGATTATGATACTCATTACATGTTTTGAAATAAGGAACCAACAATCTTCCAAGTGTGTAGGGAGTCTGCAGTTACATACAGAATTTTTGTTTTCTCTGGGGCCACCAGCAAAACTTACAGCAAAGACACCAGGTTCTCCTATAATACCTGGGCAATTTCATAAGCCGGTATTTTGTTTTATTTTGGAAAGTTCTGTTCAAAGAACACTTTTCTTCTCTGCTAACAAGTTTACATTTGCCATTAGTTTCTTATCAATTTTACTTCTACCCTAATCTCCCTGTGCGAGACAACAGCAGAACTAAAGCAAATGCTTCAGGCTGGAAGTTCTCCATAAATTAGCAAAAACCAAAACATGCATTTCAAAGCCTGTGCTGGGAGCTCTCTCAAGGATCTCTTAATCTGATAAATTTATCTTTCTTTTCCAGCTGTCTATACAGTTGACAAGAACACCAAAACCACCCAAAAGAAACCTTAAGATTTAATAATTTGAAAATAGCACATTAAAAATTGAGTAAATGCAGAGAGGAAAGGTAGTAGCATTTACCTTTAATTACATTCTTTGGCTGAAGGATTTATACACGCATAATGACAAGACTATTTGCTAAATAACATCACAGATGCATTTTTTTTTTTTAAATTATACTTCACTGTACTCTACAGGCCTCTGAATTATTCAGACAAAGAATTCACCCAAAAGGCAGCATGAAATGTAATTAATTATCATTTTAAAATTAATGGTAATTTAAAAATCACTAGAAATTGGTTACAATAAGTCTATTCAGTTTTTCTTCAAACTACTTTTTAACCAAAAATTCTTACGATGTTTTATTCAGCTATACTGGTCAGAAACTGATGAACTATAAGCAGTTTCAAAATTAATGTATCTATTCTGTCAGAAACACGTTGAATAATAAATGAAATTATCAGCTTACCGGATTTCAAGGCAACCTAGTTTCAAAGCAATTTCCTGGTCCACTTGATCTGCTATTTCTAACATATAGTCATTTTTCACCTACAGCAAAAGAAGTAGGTACGCATCACAGAAAGATCAGGTCAGTGCCGATACGGACTAAAATACTACTCAAACAACTTCAGAGCAAATACGTCTTGAGATTAATTTTTTGGAATTACTGTTTTCAGTGCATGAAGTTATGTTCAAGTTCTCCACAAATAGCCACCCCTTTTTTTAAGAAACCCATTTCAACGGCAATGAATTTGATAAGGCAAATCTTCCCTATCTGCATCAGTATTACCCATGTTTATTAAATATAATCAAAATCTCCACAGGAGGCTAAGCAGATGGTCGCACCTGCATTCAAGATATGTGAACATACGCTGTATTCTTGAACCATCTTGGTCAAGAGTTTTTAGTTTTGTAGGTGCATCTAATCATGCATATACACAAATGTTCGTGCATGACTGTGAAAATAAAAGTAGCAGCAAGTGAAAAGAGTAGTATGTGAAAATCAGAGCTGGAGAGGGACTTTTTACAAGGGCGTGTAGTGATAGGACAAGGGGCAATGGATTTGAACTGAAAGAGGGGAGATTTAGATTGGATCTAAGGAAGAAATTCTTTACTCTGAGGGCGGTGAGGCACTGGAACAAGTTGCCCAGAGAAGGTGTGGATGCCCCATCCCTGGAAGGGTTCAAGGCCAGGTTGGATGAGACTTTGAGCAACCTGATCTTTGGGAAGGTGTCCCTGCCCATGGCAGGGAGGTTGGAACTAGATGACCTTTAAGGTCTCCTCCAATCCAAATCATTATATGATTCTATGATCATACTACATAGTGACTTCAAATAATGTTTGAACTAGCAAGAAGAAGAAACAAGAGTCAAACTAGATAGCAGGGAGGGTGGAACTAGATGATCTTTGAGGTCCCTTCCAACCCAAACCGTTCTATGAGTCTATAATACAGCAGGAAATAAAACGGGCCAAGGAGTCTGCTCTGACCTGGAGGAGGTCAAATGCTATGGCCAACTCGTCATCCCTCCTGAGGAGGATGGTTGGGCCAAACCAGCATATTTGGACCACTGCTGGCATGTCACATCCCCCAGCTGTGCTTGGGCACAGTCTAGAAGAGTGGTAGAGTGGCACATGCAAAAGATGTACCACAGAGCATGCTAAGGATTCAACAAGATGGACTACGGCGAGTCAAAGTTTCATCACGTGTCCTGGACTTGTTTTATTTACTAACATCAATGTAGGCAGCCAGCTTACTTTTTAGGTAATACTTCACCACATCGGAGTAATTTATACAGTTAATTAACAAAAAAAAAAAAAGACAATAAGAGAGAATTAGTGCTGAAGAACTTTGCAAATCCTGTCTTCTGTGCAACAGGCATTTTTTACCAGTAACATATCTCTACAGAGGTGCTTGTCTTTAACGGCTCCAACTTATGAAATCAGAAATGTGCTATTGAGATCCTAAAGCCTAAGACCCTAAAATTGCAGAAAGTCCTGAAATATCACAAAAATCCACATGACTTACTTGCAGATCAAAGAGGAGATTATACATTATGCAAGAAATATACTTCACAACATGTTTTTTGAGTGATGACAGGTTGTAAGAAAAACTCTTTCAAACTGCTACCACTATAAAATTCCGTAATTTAAAAGATATAGAAGAATAGCAGCAGATTCAACAGCTGGAGGTTCTCTCCAGTCAGCATTCTCCCAGTAACACATGAGCATGCACCCCAGTGTTCCCCCACCACTAATACGACAGCTGGATCCAGCCCTAGACTACAAAGCAACAAAGACATGAGACCTTCCTAGTTATGAAGTGCATGAGAAATTTTGTTACTGAAGGATGTGAAATAAGAAATATGATAAACTGTGAAAAGAGCGAGAATATGAATTATCACAAAAGCTGCAACATCAGGAGAAAGCTTCATGCATCCGGATACTCCACATGACAAAACAATAAGCTTTTCACTCTTCTCCATTCAGCTCCCACACATACTGAGAGAGACAGGAGAAGAAATAACTGTCCTTCAGCATCATACGGTTTGCAATTTGTAAACACACACGCAAACGGTCATTCCGTATTCCCATGGCGGCAATACACAAATTAAAATGCACAGAAATAATAATAGTCCTTTTCTTCATTGTGCTTACAATTAAAAAAATAACTTCTCATGTGAAACAGCATTCTATTTGAGTTTTTCTGGCAACATTTACAAAGATCTATCTGATTAAAGGTTAAAAAACAGAAGCCCCCCCCCCAAAACTACAGACTCTATAATCTGGTAATTACAATGGCTGTAAGTGGTATGAACTGGGAGAGAGATGCACCTTCCAGGAAGTAAAGATGTTTTGATTCCATCTTTTCATTCAAAACCATGAAGGTCCTCAAGTGCAGAGTCCTACGTGTAAGCCACGCACACAGTCGTTGCTCTAATGGATTAAACATCTTCCAATTGACCAAAACATTTACAAACAACCACGTATAAATTAGAGAGAACTGTCAGTTATATGACCACACATATTCTGTGTACCCACAGTACATATCATCTTATCTATTTATTTATGAGATACGGCAGATACACTCCATTCAGCTGAAAAACTTGGCAAAGATGGCATTGGAGAACTCAGGGGGAACTCAAGGTACCAGTCTTTAGCACTAGGTGTAAAACACTGCCTAATGTTATGAAGTGACTGAAGAGTTCTCCCATCTGAATCACCCAGCGAAGGCACTCTGGGAGTCACCTGGTCCAGCTTCCTGCTCAAGCAGGGCCGCCTAGAGCCAGCTGCCCACCATGTCCAGACGGCTTTTGAGTATCTCCCATGATGGAGACTCCACCACCTCCCTGGAATACCTGTGCCAGTACTCTAAGTCACCCTCACAGTAAAAAAAACTTTCCTGATGTTCAGAGGGAACCTCCTGTGTTTCAGTTTGTGCCCACTGCCTCTGGTCCCGGCACTGGGCACCACTAAAAAGAGCCTGGATCTATCTTCTTTGCACCCTCCCTTCAGGTATTTATAGACATTGGTACGGTCCCCCTGAGCCTTCTCTTCTTGAGGTTGAGCAGTCCCAGCTCTCTCAGCCTTTCCTCATAGGAGAGATGCTCCAGGTCCTTCATCACCTTTGTGGCCCTTCACTGCACTCTCTCCAGAAGCTTGATCTCTCTTGTACTCAAAAGGCATTACAAAGTGTGGAGGCATTTTCAAGAAATTTGGCGATTCAGAAGGTTGGGCATTTCTGAGCAGCCTGTACTGCTCAGTATTACCATGTGCCAAAGTGGGAAGTAGCTTCCCTGGAAAGGGCACTTCTGGGAACAAGACAAAAACCACAGAGATCTTGAGTAGTATCTTATCCCAACTGGTGTCAATTTCCAATTACTCTTCATTCTCCTGCAGAATAGCATAGTATTTCTCTAAGAGAAAATCTTCTATATCCAAGGTTTTGTGTAACTCATAACCACCTGGACGCCTTCACAAATGGCACAATGTAATAAGTTAAACAGAAAATTAGAACTTCTGTCCATCAGTAAGGACATGAAACCTGTCCTGCATTCAAACTGTCAGACACAAATTCAGAGCGTTTAAAACCAGGACTGCAATTTCCAGGCTCCTGTGTTATGACCATAAATAACCTCTGCAATACTCACAGTGGCAAACAACAGAACAGCACTCTTCGTCTCCAAGCCTACATGGGGATATTTGAAAAGTAAGAAACAAACTGAAAATGCAAATTCTATGTGAGTTCAGTTCTTATATGAATGCCTGTATTCCAGAAACGTACCAAATGAAAAGAAACGACCATCAATTTACTTCTCGTTTATATCATCCGTACTGAGGTTTAATGAACTTCAGACATACTTTAAACACAAGCTTTCCTTTCATTCTCCTGTCTTTTTTTCTGAGAACTCACCTTCATGCATAGGTCAAGTTACTTCACCTAAAAACCCAACATTCATAGAATCATAGAAGGGCATAGGCTGGAAGGGACCTTAGAGATCATCTAATCCAACCTCCCTGTCATGGGCAGGGACGCCTCTCAACTAGATCAGGCTACTCAAGGTTCTGTCCAACTTAGCCTTGAACACCTCCAGGGAGGGAGCATCCACAACTTCTCTGGGAAATTTATTCCGAAGTCTTACCACCCTCGTACTGAAGAATTTCTTCCTAAGATCTAATCTAAATCTGTTCTCCTTCAACTTAAACCCATTTCCCCTTGTCCTATCAGTGGACACTCTTGTAAAAAGTCCCTCCCCAGCCTTCCTGTAGGTTCCCTTCAGGTATTGGAAGGCAGCTATTAGGTCCCCCCGAAGTCTTCTCTTTTCAAGGCTGAACAATCCCAGCTCCCGCAACCTGTCCTCGTAGCAGAGGTGCTCCAGCCCCTGGATCATCTTTGTGGCCCTCCTCTGAACACGCTCCAATAGATCTGTGTCTCTCTTATGCTGGGGACACCAGAACTGGATGCAGTATTCGAGGTGGGGTCTCACAAGAGCAGAGTAAAGGGGGAGAATCACCTCTCTTGACCTGCTGACCACGCTTCTCTTGATACATCCCAGGATGTGGTTGGCCTTCTGGGCTGCATGAGCACACTGCCGGCTCATGTTGAGCTTCTCATCATAAACACCCCCAAATCCTTCTCTTCAGGGCTACTCTCAACCCACTCTGTGCCCAGTTTGTATTTGTGCCTAGGATTGGCCTGACCCAGGTGAAGGACCTTGCCTTTTGACTTGTTGAAGCTGATGCAGTTAGCACTGGCCCATTTCTCAAGCCTATCAAGGTCCCTCTGGATGGCATCTCTTCCCTCAAGTGAGTCCACGGCACCACACAGCTTGGTGTCATCAGCAAACTTACTGAGGGTGCACTCAATGCCGTCATCCATGTCGCTGACAAAGATGTTGAACAGCACTGGACCCAGAACAGACCCCTGAGGAACACTGCTTGACACTGGTCTCCATGTAGACATTGCGCCATTGACCACAACTCTTTGAGTGTGACCATTCCAGTTTACGAAATCCATTAGCTAGCCTACCTTATATCCAGCCAAATCAAAT